CCCGCAGTACTCCGGCTACCAGCAGGGGCAGGGCCCAGCAGTACCGGGAGCTACAGAGCGGCCCCAGACCCGGCCCGGCCGCCCCGCAGCAGCGGCCCTACGGCTACGAGCAGGCAAGCCTTCCGTGTGTTTCCAGAGCGTGGGCCCCTGTGTGCCAGGCGTGACGACGGCCTCCCCTGCGGTCGCGAGGGCCAGTGAGGCGGGCGAGTTGGCTCCCAGGGTCCCTTCTGGAACGTCCGTTCTCTGAGTCTGTGAGGTCTAGAAGTCGCATCTCCGTGTGCACCTGTCAGACACCGCTGGCCGTTCACTTCCTAAACTCACTGTCGGAGGCTCGTCCCTCAGGTGTTCCCGTGTGCCCGGCAGCATCCGAGTGTCTGCCGCAGGCTTGGGGGACCCTGACCACCAGACAGTGAGAGCTTGTATCTGGTCCGACAGAGCGGACGCTCAGGGGGCCACGTTGGAGCAGCGGCGGTGGTTCTGGAGGAGGACCTGGAGGGGCAAGGGGACAAGACACAGGTGGCAGGGCTGGCTTAGCCCACGTCGGGGAGGCCCTCTCTGCCGAGGTGACAGTGAGTCGGGCCCTGGTGTTGCTGAGGGGACAGCGAGGGCGTCAGACCTGAGCAGAGCCGCTCCTGCTCCCAGAATGGCAAGGGTCTGCCCTTCACAGGTAACGAGAGGGCCAGGAACCGAGGGTAGGAGTGAGCCGGCCATGGGGAGGCTGTGCAGAGGTCCCGAGGCCACCAGGTTTGTCACACTGGAGATGGCGAGGAAGAGGCTCGGTGGCTACAGCTCGGGGCAGGAGTCCAAGCGGCAGGGCAGGAGAATTATCCTGGGCATATTCTTGGAGACTCCTTTGAAGAGAGCCCTTGGCAAAAGCCCACTGGTGGCTTCTTGTGCTGGATCAGAGACACTAATGACAGTTCACATGGCCAATGAAATGTCAAGGCTCCACATAGATTATGGGTGCTTTTCCCAGGGAACTGAGTAGGTAAGGTCCTGTATTTTATTTTTTGAACGCTTCTTGCTCTGCTCCCTAAAGAGAGAGAATGCAACAGTTATACTTAGAGTTTCCAGCACCAAGTCAATAAGCCCAGGGAAGGGTACTTAGGGAAGTAAATGTCTTTGGCTTTTAAGAACGCAGTTCAGATGCTCCTTGTGGGCGCGCAGGACATTGAGTCTTGAAGGCAGCGCCAAGGTTGTCTGTGACTGGGAGCCAGCAGCAGGCATCCTGTGCGTGGCAGGGTCAGGGTGCAGAAGCGATGTGAGGCACCTGGCCCACCCACCGCCCTGAGCTGCTGCGTGACGGCTTGAACGGATGCCCCCCTCCCTGATCTAAACCAGTAGCTGCAGCTTGGACGGTGGCGTTCAGAAGGGCAGTTACCTGCCTGCCCCATGGAAACTGGCAGAGGCTGTTTGTCACTTGCCTTTTATGCCCCCTTCCATCTCCCACCTGGGTACTGGCGGGGGCGGGGGGCCATCTTCCCTTCGGGTGCAGACTCTTCCGCAGGACTGTTGAGGTGTAATCGGTGTCTTGGTCTCTTGCAGGGCCAGTACGGAAATTACCAGCAGTAAGGGACAGCGTTCTTGTGGAGTCTCGCGATGGCATGTCCATCTGGGGATGGACAGGCTGGGGACAGTTCTAATGAACTGCGACCCATGGGTTGCACCTCCGTCCCACGCAGCGTCTGCATGTGAAACGTGCACACCTCCTGCTGGGCATGACAATGAGCATGCACCTCTGGTGCAAGACGGCGCGCTGATGGTGTGACGTATTTGGTGCTGTGTATAGTGTTGTGCGTCTGTACAACGGGGAGCTGGTCCCTTTTGTCCCCCACCCCTGCCCCAGTGTTTCTAGCTAGCTTTAGGGGTCCTTTTGTCATCACAGTGTTCTGTGCCCAGGCATGGGACACCTACAAGATGCCATAGTCCTCGTACTCACATACACAGACCTGAGGTCTGATTCTTCCTCACGCACTTGTGCTGTGTGTAAAGCTGTCCTTCACTGGTCACACTGCAGCTAGACACGTGCGCACGGCCCCGGGTGGCAGCCTCTTCCTGTGCCTCGATGGGGCAGGGGGACGGGGCAGGAGGCATCTTCTGTGCTTTGGGTCAGTTTCTGTTACACAGTGGAAAGGATGAACGTGCTTCATTCGGGGAGGCTGTGAACCGTTGTTTCCAGAGCTCACCCGTCACCTGTCTCTCACCAATTCTGTGTATCCAAAAAGTTACATGTTTTTGTATTAAAAGGTAAAGAGGGATCAGTGACTGTTTCCCAAGTAAATACGAACGTTCTATCAGCCTAACCCAGGGAGAGTGGAATAGCTGAAGGGAGGAGAGGGTAGTTCTCTGAAATCACTTCGGCTTTGGATCTTGTTTATCTAACGGTCATTTCTGGGATTTTAATATTTAACATGCCCAATTCTAAATTTATAATTTAAAGTACTGATACCAAATTTTCCAAACAGTCGGCATGTTGTTTATTTTATACTGTTTCTTCCAGGACCTACTTACTCAGATCATCGAGCAGGCATTCCCTTTAGGGATATCTGAAATTCACATCTCACTTTGAAAAGGAACACCACTGATTTTATTGTGTTCTTATATTCCTAGGACATTAAATCCCATTTAAATCCTGTGCAGACATTAAAGACAGCTCATGTGGAAAAGTCAGTTCAAAGGAAAAATTCTACATTTCACTAATAAGTCATGTGGACATTTTATCAACCTTTACTAGTTGATAATACCCATATTTACTGTGAATCATTTAAAAACATCTTTGGCTAAATGCTGACTTATTTCCAATACAACCAGGAAAATACAAAAATATCAAGTTCTTGATTTGTCAGGTCTACTGAAGATGTTTTCAACTGTTAAGTTTTCTGTTTTAAGAGTTTAAAGTAGTTCTTTATCCGGATTTGAATGCTTTTTGCTGGGACAAACCTTGACAGTCCATGCTGGGAAATAGGGACACAATGACTGTTGCTGTTTTACAAATAAAGAATCACGGCTCAGAAAAAAGACAGTCCCTGTCGGGTACAAGTCCTGTTCTAGGACATTCTCCCTCTTCTGTGGAGACAGAATCACACGTACATCGGGATGGAAGTGTTAATTTTGTAGACATATGGGTTTTAGAAACCCTTAACACTGGTAAGGGCTTACAAATACGTGTCTGTATTAAATGACTGAAATGAGAATTCTTAGCCACTGAGCGACACAGACACTAGCAGTTTCATTTAGGGAGTCACCTCCCTTGATTTGGTTCTATTCTTTCCTGAGAGTTTTCATAAAACTAATTTGCAAACCCAATCGGGGATTCAACTTTCCCTGTTGAAAATGTTAAACATTTCAGATAACTGTGAAAATAGTTAATTTTTGTTCCTTGCCAATGTGGAACATGCCTTTTATGTTTTTTTCTTTGTAAGTGCTGTATTAATACTTTTGGAAGGAAAAGGACACTTAAAAAACTTATCCCAGAACTTCAATCTGAAATGTCTTACATTAAGAAATTTCTTGAATGTTGTGTATATATTTTAAAAAGCACTTTGTGAAATAGTTTGTACATTTATTTCTTAATTTATACATGATTTTGGGTGTTAATATATTTAATGATTAATAACAGAATGTTTATTTAATGTGTTGTCCATTTTTATGTAATATCGTGGGGAAAGGTGATGCCAGCAGTTCTTTTTCATTAATTGTATTATATCTTCTCTTCTGTAACATGAATGTTTGCAAAAGCTTAGGCTAAAATGAATTGTTTGTGCAGCGTGGTTAATGTTTTGCTTTTTCACGACTACGTCCACGGTGGAGGCCAGTGAAGGTGGAAGGAAGACTTGGAAACCGATGCTAGTCTTCCTCCTCTTGCCCCGACGCCCAGCAGGTGGGGGGTCTGAGAAATGACCGCTCTCGAAGTGAGGCGAGCCGAGGGCCCCCGCGGGTGGGCGCTAGACCCAGCCGCCCGAGACCAAGCAGTGGGAGGCTGGGGCGGAGGACAGGGGAGTACTCGGGCGGTTAGGGGAGTCCGGTCACTGGGGGGTGGGGTGCGTACAGGGG